CTCAGGCGATGTCGATGATACTGCTTGATTTTGATGAATCAGTCATTTATAAGCGACAGCTAAACAAAAAGTAAAAGTTGAATTAAATTGCCTTTCATCCTTAACTTATAGAAATAATTATTGGCTCAAACACTTTGGGGTTCTAATATGACCACAGCGAGTTCAAATCTGTCCTTGACAGAGATAAAAGAAACATTTTTGAAGACCACGATAGTGTGGCCTTTTGTATGGTCGTCGTCTCCTTTCGTCGTACAGAATTTGTTTCACCTTGTTCTCGCAACTTGTTCATATTAGCAGAAAGTCCTAAATGAACGCACCTTGTCCGGAGTCCATAGTGTACATGGTCATTTCCAGAGTTGGACCGTGGACTTGGTACATTCCCAGACGTCTTGCCGGCATCATAGTCGACGTCATCAGTGCGTCTTGACATTTTCAGCAATCAAGCTACCACTCGTCAAATAAGGTTTAACTATCACTGATTGTGTTTTCCTGGTCTCTCTATCCAGTTACTACCGTCTAGTCTCGCCCTCATCCTATCACAACTTCTGACATGTTTCTATCCCACAAGAGATGTACACTTTTGGCGAATTTACCGTGGCGTCATCACACTTGCTGTATCCATTCCTCCCCTCCCTTTCGATTGGCTGATCATGCTCTAGTCTCCTGTCCGGATCTGCCTCATGGGCCAGTAGATCCGATTCTTATCTTTCCGGTTGACCGATTTCACTCGGTAACAGCCGCAGTTTACTTTACTCCAGATGCCATTTCTCAAGGCTTCTGTAGCACTTACAAAGTAACCTTATCGTCAGATTCACATGCCTGGGTCATGTCCTCGATTAAACCCGTGTACCCTGAGCAAACTGGTCGCCTACTGCATCTCAAGTTGATTATTAGTCCATTTGGTTACAATTCCAAATTTCTCTAACGCAATCTCTCTCACTGTTTAAGTGAAAGTTCGGACCCCCGAGTTATAGTCATCTATTCGAGCTGACTATTTTCACTGAAAACGACTTCGCTCTGTTTCCAAAACTTCCTCACCCTTTTATTCCTTGCGATCCATTTTTCTCTGATTCACGATAGATCCTTAACCCAGTCGTCCCTTTTTGCTTGTCTTGTTGCCTCCGTGTTTTCTCTGAGTTTGATTAGGCGATAGGCATAGTTATCACTAGCTCTGTTATTTTCTAATCAACCCTGTACATTAAACTTTCTCCCTCATCTTATGTTTCGTTGTGCTTCCGCTGTATGAAATTTTTCTTTCTGTTGCCTTCCAATTGATCTTGTGTCCAGCCGCTATGTCGTAAACTCCTAAGCATTCCAATTTATCTCCTCTATCATGCAGCATTGGTCGTCTTGTGAAGAGTATTGCTTTTCCCTTCTTCGGCATCTAAATATTCCATTCTCTTAATATTCACCATAGATTTCAGCGAGTTCACAGGAAGAGAGGCATATTCACTCTTGTGAGTCTTTCTCAATCTTTACATTTCTTTCATAATCTCCGTCCTGCCATCGGCTCTTCCCGGCAAGTATGCTTCTATGAATTAACGCGGATATCCATTACCGAGGAATAAACGAGTCAATTTTTCCAATTTTTTATCTCAGAATTCCACTTGTGTTAATCGCGGGATTCTGGTGATCATGCCTATCTTCCTGCTGTAGTTGTGAAGAGTTTTATTCCGGCATATGACTTTGTTCGAAACAATTTCCTCTTGAATGTCCCACTTGAGCGCATAACCTCCAAATCTAAGAAGGCTAAATGACCTTGTGTTTCTACATCTAGTCTGAATTTGATTCTTTCATTAACCCCGTTTATAAACTTCAGTAAATCCCCCAACGTTTCTCTTTCATACGACCGTATTGCAAAGTAGTCATACAGCTGCCGCATAAGAACTCTTGGTTGCAGCGGTGACACCTTAAAATTCTCTTCTAATATGTCCATATCTACATTTGCCAATCAAGCTGGGAGGTGATCCGGCAGCAAGTCAAAATGTTTGTTTATAAAAGTTGCCATTGCATGCGAAGTACTTAATTTCAAGTTGATTAATCGTGTTGATACTCTCTGCTTCTAGAACATCCTCTTATCGATCCAACATATCTACCAGGGCCGTCATCTCCTTTTCTCCAGAAATGTTTGTGCCCATACATTGTTCATCAAAACTTACCAGTAATTCTGTTTATTCCAGTGTTATGTTTTTGATCCTCGAAGTTTCACGTGACTAGGGAAAGGGATTGCGTTAGAGAAATTTGGAATTGTAACCAAATGGACTAATAATCAACTTGAGATGCAGTAGGCGA